AAGAAATTAATGTCAAATGAGACATTGAGATTTTGAACCCACTTCAAATAAATGTGCTATTCAGAAAGATGATGCTTTTATATTGTATGTTAAGACTTTAATTCATTTTGAAATTTACATTTTAAAAAAATATCAAATCCGAATGTCTTTAAATCAATATTTGTTTTGAATGAGCTGCTGACAGCATTCTTTTCTTTTTTTCCCAAACATGGCAGAAGAGAATGTTTCTACCTTGTGGTTTTTATGAACTATGCAATGAAACTGTTAGCACTTGGCATTCATCTACAGAAAATTACACTTGAACAAAAAATTAATTTCACTCTAAGAATACAGGGCCTTCAACAAGAACTTTTCAAATTTTCTTTGTTAAAGAAATTTAAATTCATTTTATGAATGTATATGTGTTTTCCTAACTGTCTGATTAAAGATCACAAAGAAACTCTTGATTTTGCATCTCACATTAGCAGATGGTGGACAGATGGTTTAAATTAATATTAATTTTGAAAAACTTAGCTTAAATTGTTTATACTGAAGATTAAAAGTTGGAAAGCCAGTTAACATCTCCAGGGTTATTAGTATTTTCAAACCCACTTGAAAAGTAAAATCCGGAAAAATCAAAGCATCCCCATCTAAAAAAAACTGCATCTCGACCAGAAAGATAGTAGGTAAAATGCAGTGCCTTGATGCTGAGTGAAATTAAAATAAGGATGAGAAAGAGCAAAAACAGAATCTGCAAAGATGAGAACCTTGAAGAGAGAGAATCATTATCTATAAATTGCTTTAAAATAATGATTTTTAAAAGAACTTATGCACCCACAAGTGTTCTTTTAGAAACAATTCCTTAATATTTGGCCTGACTGGGACCAGTTCTTTCATTGTCCACTGTTTCAGTGTTTTTGTTGATAGTTCCCTTCGAGTTGATTCTGACTCATGAGGGTCTTGCTGTGTAAAACTGTCACCTACATGACCAGTTTCCTCAGTATACCTTGTATATGAAGTTAACGTCATAATTTCTTTCCATATCTCTGCCTCAAAGAAGAGAGACTTTATAATGGAGACAAAAGAAAAACTTTCCCATGGATACAGCTTCTATGTCCAGAGACCTGATGACACGTATCTCATGTTCTTATAACTAAGGATGCTTTTGTCCTTCCACTTAGATTGAGAAGAATGTGGAAAATTGGCAGGGAAAAAGTTCAAAATGCTCTCTAAAGATTGTGTGTTTTACAAGCTGTATCTTTTATACCATTCTGACGTTTTGTGAATAATTTAAAATAACCCTAAAGATACTTACCAAAATCCTTTCATTTAGTGTAATGAAAAAAAATATGGATCACCACCTGTGAAAATACACAGATTTGCCTAAAAGGATACATTTTTCAAAATAAGAGAATTGACATTTTTTCCAATTATTTGTCAGGCAGATGCTGGCAATTTTATGTAATTAAGCTTCTATGGTAAGGCAGGTGTCATAAAATATGCCTAAATCCAGTTGATTTCTTTCTGAGCTCCACAAGGGGGAGGGGAGAAATCCAGTTTACTTTGTAGATGTCAGCTTCAGAATCTTACTAGAATTAGGAGCCATGCTATCTAGCTTCATCTTCGTTTTTAAGTTGGGTTGCCTTATTAAATAAATTAAGGGGCAATAGCATGAATGAAAGTTTAGTCTTAAAACTCATTCTTAAAAAATTATTTAATACCTGTGCTTCATATACATTAAACTAAAATTTATAATTTAAAATTTTTAAAGAGAAACACAGTTATTATGTCTGTATGATTCAACTGAAAATGAAACAAAATGTTATTCTAAATGGGGGGATTAATCATAGGGTTGCATGATTTGATGGAGATAGAGGTGAAGGAAATGGGAAAAATCCAGTGATTTAAACTTTGTAAATGAACCAGTATACAAAAAAGAAATCTTATTCTAAGCATTGTACAGAATTGAATTTCATTTGGTGGATGCATTTTGAATTACCATACGTAACACGTGAGAAGACATTAATGTAAGAAAAGTCTCTCTCTCCCCCACCCTTCTTTCTCTCTCTCTCTCTCTCTTTCTCTCTCACACACACACACACACACACTGGGGAATTATGAGGTGAAGAGGAAAGTTTAAATTATTTATATAAACTTTAATACCTAATGTTTATTGTCTTAAATATTATTTTCTTGAAAAGGAAGAGCTTATTAAATGCCATTATTTAATGTCATCTCCAGAACACTCCAAATTAGTATTAATTCTAATATTCTTAAAATAGTACTGTAGGGAGATGAAACCATCATGGTCTAATGAAAAGAATGGTGCATGGAGAATTATTTCCCTTTCAGCCAGGTTCTGCCACTACAAATGGTAGCATGATCTTTACTCTAACCACCCTTGACTATGTAAACATAGTCCCAAGGATAAATGCAGAGATTAAATGAGGCAATTTCTACGGCCCCTTCTTGCTCTGAGAGATAGACCAGAGTATTATCTGTCTTGGTGTGCCTTTTTATGAGAATCGTTAAAGATCCTTGACAAAAACAAATATTTGTAATTTCATGTCCATGCCTTAGGAATAAGAGTCCGCAGAAATCTGTATTTTCAGTAAACACCATGAGCCTTTCTATTTATGTGAGTAACACTGATATATTGAGAAGCCCAAATGACAGCTACTCAAGGATCCCTTGTTGATACTCCATCAGAATGATACAGAATCCATTTCTGCTTCCCTTCATGCCTCTGCTCTATCACTATTCATACTAATAGAACAATTTTATGTCATCTTCAGATCTTGAGAGGATAAGAATTCAACCAAGTGTCCTGATCTTGGGAAACACTGACAGAATGAGTTCTAGTTTGGAATTATGGTGGTCTTATTTATTTTCTTCTTATTATATTTTAATTGATATTTTAAAGAAAGTTTACAGAAAACTTGGAGTTCCATTTATTCATTGTTGCACATTTTCCTCCCTACCCTCCCAGTTCACTTTTCTCTTTAAAAAGATTCTTTTATTGTTACACAGTCTCTTCCCTCCCCTGAGTCCACTTTGCTATGCACCTCTTATTTTAGGCTATTGTTGTGCAAATAGTACCTAATCATATGTTTCTTTTGGAAAGTTCTTTTCCCTAGTCTATTTGAATGTGGTGTTTATTATTTATCCCCTCTTTTCTCCATTTTCCCCAACCCTCATGTCAGTCCTGTTTTATAACAGTGGCATTATGCAGTATTTGTCTTTTTGTGATTGAGATATTTCACTCAGGATAATGTCCTTCAGGGTCACTCATTTTGTAGAATAAGAGTTCCTTGTTTCTCAGTGCTGCACAGTATTCCATTGTGTGAGTATACCATAGCTTCTCTATCCATTCATCTGTTGATAGGCACTTAGGTTGCTTCCATCTCTTTGCTATTGTGGACAATGCAGCAATAAACATGGGTGAGCATATATCTGTTTGGGTGGCGGTTCTGGTTTCTTTATGGTATATTCCCAATAGTGAAATTACTTGGTCAAATGATATTTCCATTTTCATACTGTCTTCCATAGTGGTTGCCCCATTTTACAATCCCACCAACAGTGAAGTGTTCCAATTTCTCCACAACCTCGTCAGCATTTGTTGTTTGCTGCTCTGTTGAACTTTGCTATTATTACTGGCATGAGGTGATATCTCATAGTTGTTTTGACTTGCATCTCTCTTAAAGCTAGGGATTTTGAATATTTCTTCATGTGTTTGTTCACCATCTCAATCAGAACCAACTCATAAATGACCCTTCAGTGAGTTTTGAGAGGCAATAAATCACGCAGAAGGAAGATTGCTCATCTTTCTTCCAGTTAGTGGATTTGAACTGCCAGTTTTGCGGTTGGCAATACGACTTCTTACCAACTAGGTCACCATTGTTGTCGTCATATGTCTTTGAGTCGACTATGACTCATAGTAACCCTATGTAAAACAGATCTGATAAAACAGACCTTATCTTTTATTATCCTCATCATCACTGACATACTTGAGTCCATTGTTACAGTCACCATGTCAATCCATCTTGTTGAAGGTCGTTCTCCCTTCGACTGACCCTGGACCTTTTCAAGTATAATAATATCTTTTTCCAAGGATGAGTCCTTACTAACAACATGCCGAAGGTACATGAGATGAAGCTTCAGTATCCTCATGTCCATGGGACAGCCTGTTTCCACATTTTCCCAAGATGTATTGTTTGTTCTTTTGGTAGTCATGAGATCTTTAATACTCTTCTCCAATACTAAAACTCAAAGGGTTCTATTCTTTTTCTCTCATCCTTCATCATTGTCTAACTTCAATTAGCAAGTGATTGAAAAAACCATGTCTTGGATCAGATGCACTTTAGTCTTTAAATTTATGTCATTATACATTGGCGCTATCCCTGACAAATTTCCCAGTGCAATAAGTCTTTTGATTTCATACCTGCTGGTACTAAGAGTGTTGATTTTTTGATCCAAGTAAGATGAAATCCTTGACAACTTGAAACCTTTCTCCATCTATCATGATGCTTATTGCTCAAGAGGCCACCAAAGCATTCCCATTTTTGGCCAAAGCTAAAAGGAAAGGAAAAAGCCACACCCCAAAAATGTAAATCTAAATAGAATATAATATTACCAATTTGGTATTGTTTTTATTTTTTTTCTGTTTATTTGAAAGGACATGAATCAATGAATAGTGAGAAATAAGTGGATAGTGAGAAAACATAAAGGTTGTTTCAAATTATAAGGCACTTTAGTTAAAATAAAAATTGTACTAAGCTGTATTTTTAAGGATATTTAGCTTTAAATTTCTAAAGTTTTTCTACCACCTTCCATTTTAAAAGGAAACATGTACTGAATCTTTGAATGAAGTAGGTATTTATTAAATAAATTTGTTTTTCTAGATGTCATGTTAAAGTCTTTCTATTTTTTAATTAAAATATTTTAACATTTTAGGTGCTTTGTTTTGCTACAAAATAAACTCATATTCTTATTTCTTTCTTTTTTTTATTTACTTCTTTTAGGAAAATATATAACATTTATTCTGGACCCGCTGGATTTCCACTTGGTAACAAAAAACCAGAAACAATTAAACTTCAAAATATTTGGTAGTACACTGTCATTTAATGTGTTTACCATCAAACTGCTATTATCCAGTCAAGAGCTGAGACATGATATTCATACCTGCTATCAGTATCTGCAAGGCAAATCTTTGGATGTGCTCCTTGAAACCATGGCACAAAATATAAGGGACACTTTTGAACGTGAGTTCTTAAGAGCCCAAAATTGGAATACAGAGGAATTGTTTGCATTCTGTACTTCATTAATATTTGAGGTTACATTTACAACTCTGTATGGAAAACCTCGTGGTGCAGATGGGAAAAAAATTATCTGTGAGCTAAGAGATGACTTTGTTCAATTTGATGACAAATTCCTCCACTTAGCATCAGGTATACCCATTGAGCTTCTGGGAAATATCAAGTCTGTGCAGAAGAAGTTTCTAAACTACTTTGGACAAGAAAACGTAGCTAAGATGCAAGAATGTGCACAAGTTGTTCAAATGAGGCAAGATGTACTGGAGCATTACTATGACCCCAGCAATTTAGAAATAGGAGGTAAGAAACTGCTGAATGATTACTTGTCTCAAATGAAATCATTTACAGGAGACCTTTGAAATAAAATGACAAAATGGCGACCTTGAAAATTTTTATGCTTTTACTAATTGGCTAATGGTAAAATGTTTTACTCTGATAATTGATTTTTTTTTTCCTAAGGTGGTAAAACAAGATAGTTAATGGTGATAATGAGAAAGAGTATAACTAAGCTGCATTTACACCTCTTATCTCACCCCCCAACTCCCTGTCCCCCCACACATTACATTTTAAACTATTCTCATTAAACAGAAAATTAGACTTCAGAAGCCTATTGGTTCTCATTAGCATGCACTGATCCTTGGCTGGGTCTGTGTCCTAACATCTTTTAATTAGCACACTGCAAATCTAATCAGTGTAATAAACGCTATTAATCTTCCTTTTCACTTATTTTCTCCCAGCACATCATTTTGCCTTTCTCTGGGCTTCGATTGCAAACACTATTCCAACTATGTTCTGGGCGATGCATTATCTTCTGTGGCACCCAGAAGCGATAGCAGTGGTGCGTGACGAGATCAACCGTTTGCTGCAGTCAACAGGTCAAAAGAAAGGGCCTGGAATTTGCATCAACTTCACCAGAGAACAATTGGACAGCCTGGTCTACCTCGGTAATTTATTTTTATCTGTTATGAAGAAAAGAAGGTACATCTCTACAAACTCAGTTTATCACTCAATAGCTGTTTACCAAGAGGTGGAGGACACAGCTGCCTAATTGACATAATAACTCCCATTTACATCAATTATAAATTGTGTAGTTTATAGCTGTAGATACTCTCGTTGCATGTAAACATGAAGGCCTAGGTAATTAACTATGCAAGGTATGCAAAAGGCTAAACCGAAGCTTTGCAATTATTTGGGGGGGGGAGTTTATGCCTATTAAGTCATTTGATTCTGAGCATCTGTTGGTATGTTAATTCTTTCCAATCACTGCTACACTATCTTGACAAGAAAGGTTTTTAGGGATTGAAAGAGAAAGTATTTCAGAGAAGCAACCTGTGCACAAAATGTGCTTATTACTCCCAAAAATGGCACGTTTTTCTGTAACTTGAGGTATATGCTTTTCCAAAATGTATAGTGAAAATACTTTCATTTTTAATTCCCTAAAAAAAAAAGAGGAAAGAGGTAGAGAAGAAGGAAAGGAAAAGAGGGGAAAAGGGAGAGGAGAAAAGTAAAAGCAACAATTTAAAAACTACAAATTGCTACACAGGTAATATTGCTACCTTATAAAATATTCTCTAAGCCATGAGCTATGCATGGTCACTGTGAACAATAGAGCTGAACTCTGGCCTATCTTGTGCCATCTTTATTATCCCCGACACATTTGAGTCCATTGCCATAGACACAGCATCAATCCATCTCATTGAGGTTCTTCCCCTTCTTCACTAACCCACCACCTTTCCAAGCATATGTCATCTGCCAAAGAATAGTCTCTCCTAACAACCCATCCAGAATATGTGAAATAAAACTTCATAACTTTGCCTGCAAGGAACATTCTGGTTGAATTCTCTCTAAGACCCCTCTTTTGGTTCTTTTGGCAGTCCTTGGGATATTCAACAGTCTTCTCCAACATTTCAACTCAAATGCATCAATTGTTCTTCTGTTATCCTCATTTATTGTCCAGCTCTCAGATGCATAGCAGTTGATTAGAAAGACTGTGGTCTGGATCAGATACACTTAAGTCTTTATGCTCACATCATTGCTTTTCAGGACTTTCGTGAAATCCTGATAGCAGACTTTTCCAAAGCCTTATAACTAGACCACCAGTATTCTCTTATTTTAGCTTATAGAGGGCCTCAATTTTTTTTAATCTTTCAAATGTGTAATATATTCTTTGATATGACCTTCTGGGAATAAAGACATTATTGGTCTTGATGAGTGTTAACCACCAATTTGTACTGAAAATGATGGCCCGAATATTCTAGAGATTATATTCCCAGATTGGTTAGGCTTGATCCACTCGAGGCAATCAGAAGTTTGAGTCTAACTGGTGGTCCTTCAATTAGGAAAAAAAAAATAGAAGTGTTACCTTGTATTCTGTCTTTTGCAAACATTATCAAAGTATTTTAAAGAAAGAATCCCTGTGTTATTACTTTTTCTTGTAGAATTGTTGGGGAACAAATACATGGGATTTGTGTAGAATTCTGAGCAGCTGCCTTCAGTGGCATGCACAGTATTTTCTGCATAGAAGATTCACAGTTTCTCTGAATATGTAAGTTCTATTTGCCAGATAGTCAAGCAATCACAATTGCATTTTATGAATCAGATGATTCATATGCAAAGTAATGCAAATAGACTTTAAAGAATATATGTAATGCTTTGTATGCAATTATTACTCTTAAATATTTAGTTGAAATGCATCAACTCTCTTCTTTCAATCCCTTATCAATGAAACATATGATTATTTCAAAATTATGTTATTAAAACTTTAAATTTATTTGATTGGAAAAATTAGCTAACTCCAGAGCTATGATTTAGATCCATTTAAATTCGTAATTAGTGCTAAAGATTTTCATCATCACTGGTGACCTCCTGAAATAATAGCTGTAATTGTCAACAAAACAATAACAATAACAAAATTCCCAGATGAATTTCCATTCTGGATAACAGCAGTGCATTTGCAGCCTTCAAAACTGGGTCCCTGTTTATCACTACCTCTGTAATTCATTTTAAGTATTTAAAATAATGGAGTCAGTTTCTATAACTTTTCTTTCTATAATTTAGCATGCATTTTTCCATTCCCAAGGGAGAATGTTCTATGCAAATTGGTGAAAGATTTATAAACTAATCTGACCTAAGAGATGACCTCCACCCTCAGTCCTGGCTTAACTGTAACAGTGTTTCTGAGTCAGTAGAGCTAGCACTTTATCTCCCTCACATTCTGCCTTGAAGCTGGTTTCTGAGGTAGTGAGTTGCCAAGGAGATTACTCATCTTCTTTTCATGGAGTCTCTGGTGGACTCAGACTGCCTGAGAGCCTCTGGCTTTGGGCTAGCAGCATAGCTCCCTAAGAACTTCTCCACCAGAGTTCCTGTGAACTATATTTAGAAAACAAAGAACATTAAATATTTCAAGTTTGGTGCAAGTGACTGTTTTGTAAATCCCCTTAGAAAATATTTTAATGTATTTTAAAGATAGTTTTTAAAAACTATTTCAAATTTTTATATTATAAGAGAATATTTCATTGCTGAAATCAACACGTGTTGGAGTGTGTTCTTTTTTAAAAATGCAAAGGGGAATTTTTTTTAATTGGTAAACAATAGAAAAGAAGACTTTAAATAAAAAAAAAATAGAGAATATTACATGGTTCAAATCCACCAGATGCTCCAAAGGAGAAAGGTGAGCATTCTCTTCCCATGCAGTTTACAGTCTTTGAAAACCCATTAGAGAGTCAGCTACGAGTCAGTTCTGACTCAACAACAATGAGCTTTTGATATTCATTGAAACAACTTTGAAAAGGAAAATTGCAATTACATTGACTTGAGTATTGTATACTTGAGCAAAAATGATCTATCTTGTTCACAGTGTTTGGAGAAACAAAGCCCAATAGGGCTTAAGTTTATAGTGATATAAATTATCATGCAAATATTACTGACATTTATTGCCCAACCCTATGGTCCTCACATATGTCAAACTTCCTCCAGCATCAATGCACACTTAATATTAGCAAGTCAAAATGTGGCACCTTTTAAATAAATGTCAAGCCAGTTTAAGTAATTCAGAGTAATCATGCTGTTAGAGGTTGTGATAGAGTTATGCTTTCCCCCAATATTCTATGAAATCTATCCTTAAAATTATTTTTCTCTTTTTTTAAACAAAAAAAATTACAGCTTTATAGGTTTCTGTACATTTATATATAACCATAAAATATGGTTCTATTTAGAATGACATTGCTAAAATTTTACATCTACTACTGTTTCTTAACAACTCAACTCATTGCTGTTTAGTTAAATGCAACTCATTTCTGGCCCTTCAGTAGGTTTTCAGAAACTGTGAAGAGATTGCCTCGCTTTCTCCCTCAGTGCAGCTGGTAGACTCAAACCTCCTGCCTTTGGGTTGCCAATACAACTCTATACCCCCTTGGACCACCAGAGTGTTTGTTAGAGGTCTCTCCTATTAATTTAAGCAGAAGATTTCATTTTAAAATTATACTGTTGTTGAGTACCATCAGGTTGTCTGTAACTGACTCATAGTGACCCTCTGTACAGCAGTTCTGAAGCCTACCCTGTTTGGAGCCAGTCTCACTGACTCCGACATTCCAACCCCCATTACCCCAGTTACAATATCAATCCATCTCATCTGGGGTCTTCCTCTCCTGCGTCGTCCCTCCACCCTTCCAACCATGATGTCCTTCTCCAAGGGCTGGTCCCTCCTGGCCACATCACATGCCCTAAGTATGTGAGATGGAGCTTCAAAATCCTAGCCTCCAAGGAGAAATTTGATTTAACCCTCTCCAAGACAGACCTATTTGTTTTCTTTGTGGTCCATGGTATGTTCAAGACCCTTAGCTAAAAAACAAACAAGCAATCAAATGAGTGTGAAATAACTGCTGTGTGTGGACTAGATCTCAATAGAACAAGAAGATGGAGGAATGGAAGTTTAAAAAACTTTGAGTAAAGTAAAGAATTTTTCTGTTTTCCCAGAAGAAGATCAAGGAGAAGGATTTGGGTAAGACTCAGACCAGAGCTTTAAAAACTGGGAATGGATATTACATTGAGGGTATTGTAATCATTAGAAAGTGATTATCAAGAGATTATCCATTGTCACAATTGTCAGTATTGTTTTAAAATGGTTTATTCAGCATTAAATGATAATTCTGTATTTGAAAAATTGAGTTTATAGGATTCAAACAGTTGTTATTTTTGTTGGGTGTTATTGAGGTGAGTATGATCCACAGCTATCCTGTGAACAACAGATCTGAACCCTGCCCTATCCTGCACCATCCTCATCATCTCTGACTCACCTGAGCCCCTTGCTGCAGTCACTGTGTCAATCCATCTGGTTGAGGGTCTTCCTCACTTTCACTGACCTTCCGCCTTCCCAAGCATGATGACCATCTCCAAGGAATAACCTCTTCTAACAAAAGGCCCAAAGTATGTGAGATGAAGTTTGTCATCTTTGCCTCCAAGGAGGACTCTGTTGTTGTTGGTAAGTGTTATAGATGACTCATAGTGACCCTATGAATGGAAGCCTTGAACATTAAGTATGACTTTCATCATTTCTCTAAGTTCATAGAGTTTCTAGAGGCAAGCTGTTTCAGAAGTGGATGCCACTCCTGCTTTCAAGCTTGTTTTGATCGGGAGCTCCAACAAACATTGTCTACCAGGGGTAACCATTATCCCATTTGACACATCAGTGTCAAGTGTTCAGCATCACAGCAACCACAAGTTACCTCTGTACGACAATTGACAGACCAGTGCTATACCACTTAGAAGAATGTTTGACCAAAAACAATTAAAACCAGGCCTGAGGGCTGCAGATTAAAATCACCCACCTTTGGCTTGGTAGCATGGCTTTCTATCCAGTAGGCCAACAGAGTTTTCTCTATGTTGTTGTTTTTGTTGTTGTTAAGTGTCATCAAATTGTAGATGACTTATAGCAACCCTGTGAATG